GGCGGAGGCCGGAGGCCGTAGCCGTGGGACGTGGGGCAAGTGGGACGAGGGACGAGGGCGGGGGGGCGGCGCCGGCCATAAAATCCTGTCCTTGCTTAGGGTGGCTCGTCCTCCTCAGCGGCGTTTCCGAGTCTCATAGATGTGAGTCCGATGGAACTGCCTGGGGAAGACGAGCAGCCGCAGCTTCCGCAGCCCTGGGGCCGGCTTCTCCGCCTGGGCGGGGAGCAGGGCGAATCGCACGTCCTCCTGCGGAAGCGCGAATGGACCCTTGGGCGTCGGAGAGGTGCGTGGAAGTGACCGGGGACTGGCACTGAGGACGAGAGCGGAGATTGGGGAAAGGGACCAAGGACCAGGTCGAGGATGGAGCGGGGCAGAGATATAATCTGAGGAGGGATGGAGAGTACCCGAGGTGCGGGCGGGCGGGACAAGGGCGAAGAGGGCGGAGCCCTCCGTTGGGGTGCGGGGTGCTCAATGCCTTCCGGTTCTTCCCACGAAGTGGACTGTCATGTGACCATGCCACTAACTCTCCAGAACGTTCAATGTAGATCACTAATTTCCCCTCTACAACTTTATAAAGTTGTGCACCACATCTTCCACAGCAGGATTTTATTATGTTCATTACAAAACAAAATTTCTTCTACTGCAGTGGAGTGAAAGTAAAAATCAGTTAATAACGAATATTGGAAATTTCAGGTAGGTGGAAATTAACCACCTGTTTTTGTTTTTTTTTAGATACTATGCGAGGCAGGTCTCAAATTTGCTATGTACCCTAAAATGGTCTCAGACTCTACTCCTACCCCAGCCTCATGAATGCTGGGATTATAGGCATGTTCCACCGTGCCCAGCTAAAAACAGATTTTTGAAACTGTTGCTAGTTTTACATCTTACAATATACATCAGTCTATTTTTAAAAATTTTTGTCTCCTTTTAGCAATATTAGATTCCAGTCTCATTTTTAATAGTTTTAAAAGTATTTATCTTTAGAAACTTGTGAAAAAGATATGTTGTCTTTAACTAATACACTAAAAGGTTGTGGAAGAGAGGGGCCCTGGAGAGAGACTGCCAGGGTTCCAACCTATCAACAACATATAAGTTGCTTTGGGCTACGCACATACCTTTCTATGCTTTTGTATTGACTTCATAGAGTTGCTGTGAGGGACAAAAGAGATCATACTTAGGAGGAGCCTGGATCATCGTTAGCATTTAATGTTAGCCACTGTTATAACATGTTATGAATGTTATTTCTTTTAGTGTATGTGCTGCCGAAGCAAGCACTATTATTTCTTGTTAAGACATTACCTTTTTTATTAAAACAAGGAGTAAAATGTTAAGTTATTCTGCTTCGTAGTAGAAATATTGTCAGTGAATACATTAATGATGTTGCCAGAAAAACTAAGGTTGTTATATTAGTCTGTTCATACTACTGTAAGAAAATACCACATTCTAGGTGGCTTAAGCGATACCAATTGATTTCTCAGTTTTGTAGTCTGGGAAGTCCAAGCTGGCTAATCTGGTTCCTGGTTGCAGACAGCTGGATCCAAACCTTTTTCAGATGTATGTTTCACAAACGTTTCCACCCAGTCTGTAGTTTGTTTCATCTTATCGGGCAGTGTCTTTTGAAAAACAGACACGTTTTGTTGTTGTTGTTGAATGTTAGCTTATCATTGTTTTTCTTTCTCAAATATTCTTTTTGTTTTTTTTGTTTGTTTGTTTGTTTGTTTTGAGACAGGGTTTCACTATGTAGTTGAGACTGACCTGGAACTCACTGTGTAGCCCAGGCTGGTCTTGAACTCATAACAGTCCTCTTGCCTCAGCCTCCCGAGTGCTAGGATTACAGGTGTACGCCACCAGACCCAGCCTCAAATATTCTTTTTGTGTCCTATCCAAGAAGTCCTTTACAGACTCTGCATCACTAAGATTTTCTCTGGTTTTTCACTGAAAGTTTCACAGCCTTAAATTTCACATTTGTCTATGACTGGTCATCCTTGCACCAATACAGCATTGTCTTGATCACTGTCATTTGATAGTAAGTAGCTTTCCTCTTGGTTCTTTTTCAGAATTGCTTTAGATATTTTAAATTTTTCCCTGTGAAATTTAGGGTCAGCTTGTTTGTTTTTACAAGACCTCTGGGATTTTGTTTGGAACTGTGTTGAGTCTTTGAAGCAGTCCAGGAGAAAACTGGTGACTTCGTAGCATTGAATCTTCTGACTACTGCCATTAGCAGCTCCTCCTCAAACCAGTGTTGCTCGAATGCACCTTGTCATGACTTGTAGCTATAACCCAGTGTCTTTGGGGACTTGGCAGGATGTGGTGATATGCCATGTCCTCCACCCATTTTGTGTCCTCTTCCTTCTTTGGGGGCTACGGTGATGAGTGCTATGCAGTTGCTTTGGCAGGGTCCACTGGGCTGCTAATGAGTTGTGAGAATGTCAACATGCAGAAGCTCAGCAACCACCCCATCTGAACATAGTGTGTGCCCAGAAGTAGACCTGTGGTAGGCTGGAGTCAAAGGTCTGAGGCTGGTATCAGAAGTGAGCCTGGGCTCTCTGGTGACCACAAGACCATCAAGGACTTGAGGGACAATATTTTTGGTGCCACTGTGAAGAGCTCCAGGATTAACCTGCATGTCAGCAACAACCGTGATCTGGCTACAGATAACTTTTGAATCAATTTTGATATGAACGGAGCAATCCCTGCCTCTGGGCATAGAGGCTGACATTAGTAAGCTGCCTGAAGTGCTGGGCCAGCTACCCGTCCAAGACCAACCCAATGATGAAGACTGACGGCCTTAAAGAGATGATGATTGACAAGAGGTTTTTTTTTGTTTTTGTTTGTGTTGTTTTGTGTGTGTGTGTGTGTGTGTGTGTGTGTGGGAGAAGAACCACAAATAGAAATCAGTTCCCTGAGGGCTGGGTGGATGGCCAGGTCTTTGTAGAGGTGGAGTCTAAACTGAGTGATGTGAGAAGCTAATATGAGGTCATGGCTAGGATGGGAAGGATGCCAAACTGGCTCACTAGCTAGATTGAGGAGCTGAACCAAGAGGTTTCTAGCCACTTTGAATAATTTCAAATGAGCAAGTTTGGAGTCACTGAGCTGTATTGTACCCTTTAGGGTCTGGAGATGAAGCTGCAGTTACAGCTCAGCATTAAAACTGTCCCAGAAAGGCACATTAGCAGAGACAGAGCCCTGCCTTGGAGTCCAAATAGCACAGGGACTGATCAGCACCATGAAAGCCCAGTCTGGGGACGAGTGTGTTGACACCAAGCTTCAGAGCCAGGTGTCACAGATATCAAGAGGTGGCTGGAGTGGTACACTGCCACCTAACAGAACCTGCTTATAGGCAAGGACACTTTATTACAACACTCTGCCCACCACAAGGTTCTCTGTTTCATCAGGGTTCTGGACTCCTGCCTTTCTTTAGAGGGGTTCCATTGTGTCGTGGAGTAGGAGAAGGACACTTAGTCCTGACTCTTCCCTGGCCTTCCAATAAAACTGGGAGGAACACCAAAACAATATTGATTCCTCTGTACATAGACATTTAGGTCAGTGATGGAGCAAGGCTTGGGCCAGGGCTGGGGATGTAGATCAGTGGCAGAATACTTGTCTAGCACGCTTGAGGCTCTGGGTTTAATCCTCAGTACCACCACCACCAAAAAAAAAAAAAGGCGAAAACAAGTTAAGGTTGTGATTCCACATAGAACATTTTTAGAAGAGAATTTGACTGGTCACTGTCTCCTTAACAAATTCTTCAGTTTTAAATTGCCTTTAATTCCTACAGTATCTATATAAAGGCATAGACTACTGTTATAAGCTATAGTGAGTAGTAATTACGTATAGTCTTCTAAAAGCTTTTGTGCTTTTAAGAGCAATTTTATATTTGAGAATTTATCTTCCCCCCCCTTGAGTATAATTTAAGATCTGACTATTCCACTTTAAATGCCCTTGCTTTCTGTTCTATGTTTTCTTATACATGTACCCATGATAATTTGCTCAGATTTTCTGTGACTGTTTTTGTCATTGTTTCAATTTTGTTATGACTTTTGAAACCTCAGGTTAAAAAGAAGAAAAAGTTAAGGATTAAGTTAAGATACTGAAGTTAATTAAGCCTTTAGTTTTATTTTGTTTTGGTATTTATCAGACTAGTGCATGTATGCATGTCATAAAATTGTGCTGAAGAAGGCACGGGGATGCTTGCCTGTAGTCCCAGCACTCTGGAAGGCTGAAGCAGGGGGATTGTAAATTCAAGCCCAGCTTGAGCAACTTAATGAGACCTTGTCTCAAAGTAAAAAAAAAAGGTAGCAATGTAGTTCAGTGTTAAGATATTGGGCCAATTGCCAGGACCACTGGGGGTGGGAGGGAAGCAAATCAAACAAACAACAAACTATTCTGAAGACCCAGCACTTGGAAGACTGAGGCAGGAGGACTTCAAATTTGAGGGCAGCCTGGGCTACATAGTGAGACTTTGTTGTAAAAAGCAACCAGAGCCGGGCGTCATGGCACATGCCTGTAATTCCAGCACTCGGGAGGCTGAGGCAGGAGGATCACTGTGAGTTCAAGATTGGTCTAGGCTACATAGTGAGTTCCAGGTCAGTCTCCACTACATAGTGAGACCCTGTCTCCAAAAAAAAAAAAAAAAAAAAAAAAAACAGATTTAAGGTATAATAGATAATGAGAAATAGGAAGAAAAGGTGCAAAGGGGAAGGGGAAAATAGAGGGGTAGGGGAAGAGAAAAATGGGAATGGAAAATAACATGAGAGAAAAAATGGAAACAAAGTCTTTATAGGTGTGGAGTGGTTGAAAGGAGGGCAGGGGAATGGGGAAAAAATAAGAACTAAGATGGTTTATGTAAAGGTGCAAATTTCCAATGATGAATATCATTACATTGTATAATTTAAATGTACCAATAAAATTCATTAAAAATTTTTAAAGTGGGGCTGGGGATTTAGCTCAGGGGTTCTGCCACCTGCCTTGCAAGCACAAGGACCTGACTTCAATCCCCAGTACCAGAAAAATAAAATAAGTTAGTAAAAAATGGCTCAATGCAAAAAAAAAAACAAAAACAAAAACCAAAAACAAATTGTCCTGAAGAAGCTGTTGAGGTCATGATGGGTCATCTTTTAGGTAATGGGTTTCAAGAAAACTCAGGACACAGCAAGCACTTCTCTTTTATTTTGGGTTAAACAGATACTTAAATGCTTCCTTTGTGGACACTTTGGAACATGCTTTGGTAAAGCAAAGGCAATAGTTCACAGAACCTCAGTCATTTCTAGTGACTTCCTGTCCTCTCTGTTTTAGGTTGTGACCTCTCATTCCCTGGCAATAAACTGGTCTCTGGAGATCATTGTAAAATTGTAGTGGATGAAAAATCTGGTCAGGTGACACTGGAAGATACCAGGTGAGCACTTTCCAAACTTCTTTCTGTTTTCTCTTATGGCTTAGAAAGCTCTGTGTTTCAGGGCAATAACAGTAGTTTGCTTTCTCTAATGTGACATGTAGCTTCTCAAGATCTTAGTGTATTTTCTCTTTTCTAAAATGGAATCCTGGGTATTGCTTTGGTGCCTACGGACCTTGAATTCAAATTAAGTCACATATGGTTCAAAGTTTGGGCTGGGTAACACACACCTATAAAAAATCTCAGCTAATCAGGAGGTTGAGGCAGGAGGACTTTAGGTTCAAGGCCAAGCAAGGGCAATTTTGTGAGACTGTGCCTATCTCAAAATAAAATAAAGGGCTGAGGATGTAGTTCAGTAATAGTGTGCTTCAGTAATAGTATGTCTGAGCTCTTGTATGAAATCCCTAGTACCACAAAAAGTAAAAAAATTTAAAATATGAATCAGAAATAAAAAATTTTTAAGACAAGATCTTGCTGGGTAGTTGAGACTGGCCTTGAACTCACTATAGCCCAGGCTGGCCTCAAACTCAGTGATCCATCTGCCTCAGCCTCCCATGTGATTAGATTACAGGTATGTACTGCCACACCTTGCCCGGAAATAAGACATTTTTACACACTGATAGATGTGGTGGCACATACTTGTAATCTCAGCTACTCAAAAGGCTGAGGCAAGAGAATTGCAGGTTTGAGCCTAGTCTGGGCAATCTAGCAAGATTCTAGCTCACAATTTTTTGAAAAGGGGTGGAGATGTAGTTCAGCACCATAGCACTTACCTGGCATGTATGAGGCCCTGGATAACTCCTAGCATGGGGGAAAGGAACAAAACCATAAATTTTTAGTTTTATAAACCTATTAAAGTTTAACTTTTCTCCCAAATTAAAAAATCTTGCTTTTTGAAATTAATAAATTATCTTGTCTTTGTGGTGCTGGGGTTTGAAGTCAGGGCCTTTGCACTGAGCTACATCCCTGGCCCATTTTGAAAATTTTTAATTAAAAATTTTTTTTTCTTTTTGTATCAGGAACTGAACTCAGGGCCTTGTGCCTACCAGGCAGGTGCTGTGCCACTGAGCTACATTTCTGGCCCACAAAAATTTTAAATTTTGAGACAGGATCTTATTATGTGGCCGAGGTGAACTTTAGATTCTCCTTCCTCAGACTCCCTCATTGCCGAGATGAGAGAAATAGGCCACTGTGCCTGTCTAATAAATTCTTATATAATTTTATTACTACATAAAAAATAGAAAGCTTCCCAAAACTCCACTCAAATTAAAAATGTGTGCTTGATGGCTGGGGATTTAGCTTGGTGGCACTGCGCCAGCCTCGCGAGCACAAGGTCCTGAGTTTGATCCCTGGTACCAAAAAAAATATATGTTTGATTCTATCATTGCTTGAGTAAAGTTGTGCAACCCTTACTGTCATAGTCTCTACATTTTCACTGGCAGCTTTTGTAAGTGCTTAACTGTGCATTTAGAGTCCACTCATCTTTTGCATTGTTATTCATGATCATTAGTCATTCATTTCCCTCTTTGGTGGACATTTATTATTTTGACTGTTAATATAAACCACACTGTGGTGCTTGTCCTCCAGACTCTGAGGGTATGTCTAATTATGTTCTTGAAGGGAATGCTGTTTTGAAATGTATTAGGGTTTTTTTGTTTGTTTGTTTTTTGGTTTTTTTTTTAGTTTGAAGAGTGAACGCAGAGCCTTGCACATGCTGGTTAAGTGCTGTACAACTGCACTCCACCCCAGCCTTTTTTATTTTATCTTGGGACAGGGTTTTGCTAAGTTGCCCAGGCTGGCCTTGGCCTTGCCATCCTCTTGCCTTACCTGACTAAGTAGGTGTGCCCTACTCTGCCCCACTAAATGTGCTTGTTTTAAATCCTATACAGCTCTCCGGGGCCTCCAGGAGCACAGTGAGATGTGCCTTTCCCACTGAATGAATCTTGGTATATTTTTAGAGATCAGGTGCTATAATAAGATCAGTTTTAGGGATATAAGATTGTGTTTTGCTAGGAAGCAATGATGCTCCTTTGCCAGTTCAAATAATTAAAAGATATAGAAAATGGACAGCTTTATCTGTTTGACAAGGGGTCCAAAAACATGCTGGCAGTAAGATAGCCTCTTTAACAAATGGTACTGGGAAAACTGGCTATGCACATGTAGAAAAAATAATCTAGACTCTTACTCTTAAACCCTGTACTAAAATAAAATGAAAATGGATCAGAGACCTAGATATTAAAACTACTAAATGTTAAATTAGATAATTTTTTTCTTTGGTACTGGAGATCGAACTCAGGACCTTGTACTTGCGAGGTAGGCAGCAAAACCACTGGGCTAAATTCCTGGTCCAATTAGGTAAAATTCTTTAAGACAGCATAGGCAAGGACTTTCTGAACAGAAATGTGGTTACACAAGAAATAACACCAAGTATGGGATTATATCAAATTAAAAAGCTTCTGCACAACAAAGGAAACAGCCAAAGAGTGAAGACAGAACCCTACAGAATAGGGAAAAATTTTTTCCAGTTACTCCTCAGATAGAAGACTAATATCTAGAATAGATAAAGAACTCAAAGAAAAGAGACTCCCTGAAAATAAAAGACCCAATCAAAAAGGGCATTTAAAATGAATAAATACTTCTCAAAAGAAGTACAAATGTCAATAAATACATGAAAAAAATGTTCAACACCTCTGACCATTAGAGAAAAGCAAATTTAAAAACAGTGAGAATCCATATTAGTTTAGAGAGAATGGCTATCATCACAAACTCAAAAAACAAGAAATGCTGGCAAGCTTGTGGTGTAAAAGGAGCCCTTCTACACTCTTGGTAGGAATGTAAACTAGTAGTACAACCTTTCTGGAAATCAGTATGGAAATTCCTCAGAAAGCTAAAAATAGGGGCCAGGGATTTAGCTTAATGGTGCTGTCGCCTGCCTCGCAAGTGTGTTCAATCCCTGGTACCAAAAAAAAGCTGAAAAGAAAAATTCCATTTGACTCAGCTATACCTCTTCTGCATATACTTCCAAAAGAATTAAAGACATCATATTACACTGATATATATACATACATATATATACACACACACACACACACCCATGTGTATAGCAGCACAACTCACAATAGTTAAATCTTGGAAAGGCCCTATATTTTCATTAACAGATGGATGGATTTTTAAAAATGTATATTTAGATGGTAGAGTATTACTCAACCATAAGAAAAGGTTAGATTTGATCCATTTGTGGAAAAATGAATGTACGTTGAGGCCATAATGTTAAGCAAAATTGATGAAGACATGGAAGGTTCAATATCACATGGTTTCTCTTATATGAAAACCTGAAGTACAAATAAAGACCATGATAAAAAACAGGGAGGTAGGGCTGGGATTTAACTCAGTGGCACAGAGCCTGCCTGGCAAGTACAAGATCCTGAGCTCAATCCCCCAAACAAAAACAAAAACAAGGAGGTAGACCTTTTGCAGATAGGAAGGGAATCTGGGGATGGAGGGTGAGTGAAAAGAGGGGACGGGAAGGGGAAGTACAAAGGACTACAGTGTGATAGGTATTGATACCAACTCCACAGGATAAATGTATTCATTATGTATTGCAAACGTACTAATGAAAAGGGGGAAAAAACAGCCTGTTTGGAGCTATCTGCCTAGATTGGACCTGGCTTCACCAGACTGGCTGGATGAATTAACTTCCTATGTCTAACTATCACAAACTTAGCTTTAAACAACATACATGGATTATCTTATGGTTGAGGAAGTCCAAAGTGTAGCACAAAGTCTCTCTAGGCTAAAAATAAGGTCTAGGTGGGCCCAGTTCCTTTGGAAGCTTCAGGAAGATTATGTTCCCGCTTTTCCCAGTTTGCAGATGTGCCTCATTCCTGGACAGGGGTGGGCTAGACAGAAGGGGATAGTCCAGGCAGACTCACATGGGTGGAGGCTCAGAGGCCCAAGGATTGTGATCAAAGTAGAAGGCATGTGGGAAGAGCAGTAGGAAAGCACTGCAGAACATTGAGTGGATGATAGTGAGAAGCTGGTAGCAAAGGGCCCAGCTGCAGGGTGATGGGTGAGGTCAGCAAACCAGGGTTGCACTGCCTGTTATGTTGACTGGAGCATGGCCATTCCTCTCTGTTTACATCTCATCCCTGGCTGCTTTCACACTATGGGCAGAGTTGAGCAGTTGGACAGAGACTTCTACTTACTGCTTTTACTTTAAAAGTGCTGTTGTTCCCTGACCTCAGTGAGCTGTGGTGGAAATCTGCTCCTATAGATTACCTCTACCAGTGGGCTTACAAAGGAAGCTTCAGAGCTAAGGTTCATGGTGGTTCCAGTGCTGAATTTCATGTTTTCAGTTAATCCATCATGTAGCCAACTCCCTATTTTCCATCAGGTTTGCACTCAGAAATCCCTCCTAGGGAAACACTTCCTGTGTCTGTCTGGCTTAGTGTTCTCACAGCCTAGGTCTGGGACATGTGCCTTGGCCTCTCCCATCCAGGCAGACTACATGTTCTGAACACAGGGACCACATCATCTTCAACTGGCACCTGGGAACCTGTCTCTTAGGAGGGATCAGTGCTTATCTGAGCAATGAGCTAACCATGGTCCTGGCTATTGGCACAAGGAGATGAACTTGTGGGCAGGCTAAGTGAAGCTCAGGAGGGCATAGAAATGGATGCACAGTCCTCAGGATCCACCCAGAGGTACCTGGATGGGAGCCTGGCATTGGAGCAACAGCAATGTTAAAATACTCATTAACATGGTATGGTTGCTAGTTTGTCAGAAATTGAATTATAGATAAGGCTTTCTCGAGAGTTATAAAATGGTACCTTCATATGTACAGTACTGTTCCCATGAATAATTTTTACACTTGATCTTAGCCAAAAGGCGAAGAAGCGATGATGAATAATTTTTAAATGGTGATATTGAGCCAAATTACTAAAGGTGGCAAAAAAAGAAAATGTAACCCTAAGTTATTCTGAGTAGGGAAAATTATGCCTTTGTTTTCTTTTCAGCACCAATGGAACAGTAATCAACAAGTTGAAGGTTGTTAAGAAGCAAACTTACCCTTTACAGACTGGGGATGTCATCTACCTGGTGTACAGGAAGAATGAGCCAGAATATAGTAAGAGGAAATCCACCTGGGGTCAGGCACATGTTTGGGTGTGGGTGAGGGGAACCCAACTGAGGCAAGGAAACATTTTCAGAAAGAAACTCTGTTGGAACAGTTATGTTGGCTTGCGTTCCCTTTACTGTCCATGTCAATTCTTGGTGTAAACAGTTGAGTAGGAGTGTTGATTTTGTAGTTAGAACCTTCCTTCAAGAATGCCAGCATGGTTATGAACAGTACATCTCAGAACAGCAACCACAGAGGTGGAATGGAGATGGGTTGTGAGGTGCAGCAGAAGAGCTGGAGTTGTGGGTAGTAAACCCAGGAATAGGACCCTGGAGGTTCTGCTAATGGAGACTTGCAAGAGACCGCAAAGATGATCCTGGGAATAGCTCCAAGAGTCTGTTTATGTTGTGGAAGAGTGATATAGGACAGGACAGTTAGGGGGCTCCTTTGAAAGTCATCCTGCCATCCTGTAGGGCTGGGGATTTAGCTCAGTGGCACTGTGCCTGCCTTGCAAATGCAAGGTCCTGAGTTCAATCCCTGGTACCAGAAAAGAAAAAAAAGAAAGTCACCCTATAATAATTGGAGGTCACTGTAAGGTCTTCTTGGCGGTCACTTAAGGTCTTCCTTCATAAGGAAAAGGAAAAAGAAGATAGGTATTCTTCAATATAAAACCAGCCCTTTCCCACACAGAAGGGTCTTGCATCTGTTCCTTTCAGTGGCTTGCAGTTATAAGTAAGCAGAGATTCACTTTGGCCTGCCTCCTTAGGCATTTTTCCCTGAGGCTTGCCTGTGCAGTCTGGTAAAGATGTGTCACTTTTTTGGGGACCTCCTAAACTAGTGATGATGTTACTAGCAGATAAGTAAGGATAGATAGATAGGTGACCTGTGAAGTAACCAAAGGCAACAGAAGAGAGATGAGGTCCCACTTCCCATGTGGCCACCATGCTAATTTATTTCCTTCTAGATGTGGCATATCTCTACGAATCTTTAAATGAAAAGCAAGGCATGACCCAGGAATCTTTTGGTAAGTGAACTTCTGGCTAAGCCCCAGTTTTGTGTGAATTCTGTTGAACTCTTGAATAGTCTTCAGCCCCTGCTGTGTCTTCTGAGACCCAAAGATGTGCTCTTTCTTCACTTTTGTGCTTGCAGAAGCCAATAAAGAAAATATGTTCCATGTGACCAAAGATACCTCACGTCCCGGGCCGGGGGATGACCCCCAGGTCCCACCACCATTGCCTGCCCCCCAAGCATGCTTGGAAGAACCACAGCCATCAACATCGACGTCAGACCTTTTCCCCACAGCCTCTGTCTCTTCCACAGAGCTGACCTGTGTAGTGCAAGAACATTCCTCCAGCTCAGGTGAGAGGGAGGTTAACAGTCTCGTAGTTGCTAGTTCACTAACCCCTAGGTGTGTTGTCACAGAGACAGAAAAACCACTGCAGGAAGTTCTCATTAGTAAGAATTCTGGTGGCAAATAGTGACTTGTTCCAGAAAGAGAAATGTTGGTGCTCAAGGACTATGATACTGTGGTATTTTTTAGTTTTATTGAAGTATAATTCATTTACCATAAATATGAAGTTAAAGTGTGTACACATCAGTGTTTCTTAGAGCATTCACAGGGTTATGTGACCATCACCGCTAATTCCAGAATATTTCTGTTACCTGAATGCAAACCCATGTAGTTATGGATGTGCCAGTTCTGCATGCTTCATGCACACAAAAGTCATAGATTATATGGTTTTGCGACTTCTTTCATTCAAAGTAGTGTTTTCTGGGTTTTTTTGAGATGCTGATTTGGGGAAAATTGTGTTTCTCCTTGTTAAGCTCCTTGATCTTCAGTGAAGTTTTATAGTTTCATCACCTCTTTTTGGGCATACTTTTATTGATACCTAGAATTCTTGGTTCTTTCTTCTCACATGCCTAGTAGTGTGTAGGTTTCCCCATACATGTCAGTTAGGATATGTTTGGCTGTAACAGAAAAGCTGTTCCCATAACAAAAAGTTGGGGAACATAGCCCAAGGCCAGCTAAATAGATCACCATGCCTCCAGGGCCACCTGGAGCTACCTGTGTTGCAGTTGTGTCAAGATATCTCGAGGTGGGCTGGGGATTTAGCTCAGTGGTGCTGCTGCTGCCTGCCTTGCAAGCGCAAGGTCCCAAGTTGGATCCCTGGTACCTTCCCCCCACCAAAAAATAGATATCTCCAGATTTCAAGATGACTGTTAGAGGTATACACATCACACTGTGTTCATTAGTAGGAACCAGGGAAGCCTGTGCAAACAGGATCTGTGCTCAATGGTTCTGTCCATTGATTAGCAGCAGCAAGGGAACCTTCTTGCAGAGAATGGCACCTTTAGTTCTCACCAGTTGGCTGGCTACCCTGCTGCAAGATGTTCCTTCTGGTGGTTTGGGATTGACACAGGGCTGTACAAGCTGGTACTCTATTGCTGAGCCACACCCCAGCTCCCTTTCTCTTTTCATTTCCTTAAGCTTTCTGATGGGATTTGTGGAATGAGAGTCAGGAAATGCCGGAAGTTAGTATGTCATCTTAAACCTGGAAATCTTTTCCTGGGCTATCTGAACTTGCTTCCATTCTTGTTAGTCTGGCTTTCTTGATTCCTAATACTGTCACTGCTCACACAGGCAGCCTCACCCTCCTTGTCCTCCCTGAGGCCTGCAGCAGCTCCCTCTTTACTCACAGGCCCTTTGGATAAGCCAGACTCCCCAGCAGCACGTTGTTCCCAGCTTCGTGCTTCACTCTTTCCCCATATGAATTGCATCCCAACTGTCTGAGGAGTGACATTGTCTTAGTGATTTTCCTCATCAGTGAGACACAGTACTTGACACCACAACTTAAAAAAGAAAAGGTTTATTTTGGCTCATGTTTCAGTGCATAGACAGCATGGCAGACATGCATGATAGAAGAGAGCTGAGCAGGGCTGCTCTGGGCATGGTGCCAGGGAAGCAGAGAGAAAAGGGAGGACCCAGGAGAGAGAAGAGCCTATCCAGTTACCCACATCTCTCAACTATATAGTAGTTAATATTAAGGACCTACCAGATGTGAGATAGTGTGATAATTGCTTTTTTTTTTTTTTTTTTTTTTTTTTTTTTTTTTTTTTTTTTTTATTTTTTTTTTTTTTTTTTTTTTTTTTTTGTCCTTAGCACTTTTTATTGAACTATGAGCCTTGATGACAATCTGGCAAGCATATCTGTTGTCAGCTGAGGAGGAATCAGTGGATGACACAAATACAGAAACAAGATTCAGAAAAATAATAGTTTTACAATACATGGGATACATAAGCTCCATAGTTGTACAACAAATACCTGTTATTTATCTATACAAACTGCCCCTGCTCCCCCCAAAGATCTAATCTTCAAATAATACAATATACTGTTATGAAAATACCATTGGTATAGACAGCTCCTCTGGCAAGGACGGAGTTACCAAAGCTCTAGATGGCCACTTCCATTTGGAAGTTAGTTGCTTTTTATTGGTTTTTATAAGAGTTTAATCCTCCCGGTGGTGAACCTGGTCAGGTGCCATCACTATAATCTTTGTTGTGGAGATAAGAAGCCAGCTAAATGTATAAGTTTTTTGGTGTATATTTGGTGCAGGGAATTGAACTCAGGGCCTTCACACTGTGTTACATTTTACTTAGCCCTTTTTTATTTTTTATTTTGAGACAAAATTACCAAGATTGAGGCAGGGGTCATACTTACTGTCCTGCCTTCACTTCCTGGAGTGCTGAGATTACAAGCCCATGTCTCACACCTGACTCATAATAGGCTTGAAAAGATCATAGTGAGGTGAGTGTTGGAGGCAGAAGTCAGTCTAGGAAGCTAGCTGTCCTTTTCATCCTTCAGTATATGAGCTAATTTATTCCCATGATAATATTCTACCATGGGCCAGTTTCTTTTCTCAAATAATATCACTTGTGCTGGCTGTGGTGCAGCATGACTGTAATCCCAGCACTCAGGAGACTCAGTCAGGAAGATCCCCTCAAGTTTCAGGCCAGCCTGGTCTACCTATTGAGTTCAAGGCCAGCCTGGACTGTGTAAATGAGACCCTGTCTCAAAAATGACAACAATAATAATATCACTTGCCATTGGAATATTATGAACTAAATGTGCATCATACTATAATATTATGAACTAGGTCTTGAAAAGAGGATGTTGGGGGTCTGGAGATGTAGCTCATTGCCTGCCTAGTAAGTGCAGGGACCTAAGTTTGGTCCCTGTCACCAAAAACAACAACCAAAAAAAAAAAAAAAAAAAAAAAGAGGGATT